ACTTTGTATCTCCCTGTTCCATTGAATTATTTTATTACCTCTAGCAGTCCTTTAATCGAGTGTTTGGGGTCTTCTATGTAGAGTATCATGCCATCTGAAATAATGATAACTTTACTTCTTTACTTCCTATTTTTATTCGTTTTGTTTCTTCCTCTTGTCTTATTACTCTGGCTAATATTTCAAGAACTATATTGAGTAGGAGTGGTGGTAGTGGACTTCCTTGTCTTGTTCCTGATTTTTGAGCGATGGCTTTCAGGTTTTGTTCATTTAGTGTAATATTGGCTGTTGGTTTGTCATAGATAGCCTTTATGAGATTGAGGTACATACTGTGTATTCCAAATTTCTGTAGGTTTTTTTTAATCATGAAAAGGTGTTGGACTTTATTAAAAGTTGTTTCTGGATCTATTGAGATGATCACATGATTTTTATTTTTGGCTCTGTTGATGTGGTGTATTACATGTATTGTCCTTAAATCTTCTCTAAATTTGTTAAAGAATTCAGCTGTGAATCTATCAGAGCCTTTTCTTTGTTGAGCTTTTCTTTGTAAGTTTTTAATCACATGTTTGATTTCAGTAGCCGATATTGGGTTGTTCAAAATTGGTACATCTTCTTTATTGAGCTTTGTTAGTTCATATGTTCCTAGAAATCTGTTCATTTCTTTTTGTTTTCTACCCTATGTGAGTAAAGATTTTCCCAATAGGTGTTTGTGATCTTTTGAATTTCCATGGGATGTGTAATGACTTCCTTCTTTTCAGTCCTTATTGTGTGGATTTGAGATGTTTCTTTCTTTTTATTGATAAAGTTGGCCAAGGGTTCATCATTTTTGTTTCTTCTCTCAAAAAACCAGCTCTTTGATTCATTAAATCTCTGTAATTTTTAGTTTCAATTGCATGAATTTCTGCTCTAATTTTTACAAGGTCCTCTGTTCTGTGAACATTGTATTTGTCTTACTCTTGTGTTTCTAGAAGCTGAGATGTAGCATGAGGTTATTTATTTGTGTTTGTTCCATTTTCTTTATATGACTATTTATTGCTGTATATTTCCCTCTTAGGGCTGCTTTCATTGTGTCCCATAGGTTACAGTATGTTGTGTCTGCATTTTCATTGTATTGTAGGTGTTGTTTTATTTCTTCTTTAATTTCATCTGTAAGCCACTGGTTATTCAGAATTTTATCATTTAATTTCCATGTATTTATGCAGGTGTTGCAGGGTTTTTTTTGCCATCAATTTCCTATTTTAGTGCAGTATGATCAGATATTATGCATGAGTTAATTTCACTTACTTTGCATTTAGTTAGGAATGCTTTATGGGTTAATATTTGGTCTGTTTTGGAGAATTTCCCATGTGCAGCTGAGAAGAATGTATACTCTTGATGTGGTTGAGTGGAAGACTCTGTAACATCCACTAAGTCCATTTGCTCACTGGTATGATTCAGTTCAGTTGTTTCTTTGGTGACTTTTTGTCTAGTTGGGCTATCTCTTTGTGACAGTGGGTTGTTAAGATCTCCTTTTACAATTGTGTTCTTGTGCATTTGGTTTTTCATGTCCGTTAGTGTTTGTCTTATCTAGTTGGGTCCTCCTCTATTTGGTGTGTATTTTTACATTTTTTAGTTTTAGTCTTGTTGTTTTCCACTTACAATTATGTGTGTGGCATATTACTAAGTTTTTGTTGGATTGTTGAACAGAAGTGTTTGCAGTGTCGCTGTGTGAATTCCCACTTTATATGTTCCACTTTTGTATCTTGAACAACTATTTGTCAGAGGATAGTATGTAAAAATCAACTAGTGATTTCTTACTGTTTATTTTTTCTTTAAATGTATGTATTATTTCTACTCATTTGCTGTTTAGTTTAGTCTTACTTTAAATAAAATAAAAAAAGTATGTGGTGGCTTCTTTATGTCTTTTAACCATTTTTGACTTGAAATTCACTTTGTCTGCAAACACAATAGCTACCCTTGTCTTTTTCTGGCTTCCTGTTTCATGGAATACTGTTTTCCACCCTTTGATGTTTAACCTATGAGTTTCTTTTTGAGTCAGATGTGTTTCTCGTGTACAGCATATTGTGGGATCCTGTTTCTTGATCCATTCTGTCATTATGTTTCTTTTGACTGGTGAATTGAGCCCATTTATATTTATGGATATCACCAATACGTGCTGGCTTGACTTTGCCGTGTTGTGTTCCTATTGTTGGTCTCCTGCTTTTCTTCCTTGTTTAATTTCTCGTCCAGTCTGGTGGATTCTTGTTGTTGTTTGTAGATTTTGGTCATTTTTATCTCTATCTAGTATGTCTTTCAGTACTCTTTCTAGGTTTGGTTTTGTGGACATGAATTTAGTCAGTTGTTTTTTGTCATGGAAGTATCTTGTTTGTGCACTAGGTTTGAAGGACAGTTTTTCTAGGAACATCAGTCTGGGTTGAAAGTTGTTTTCTTTTAGTGCTTGAAATACTTCACTCCAAGGTGTTCCTAAATTGGAGTTTTGTGCCGAAAAGTCTGCTGTGATTCTAATAGGCTTCCCTTGATAGATGAGTTGTGTCTTTTCTCTAACAGCTTCAGTATTCAGTTTTTATGCTGTGTGTCTTGGATGTTAATTATTGCATGTCTGGGGTAAATTGTGTTGCTTGTGACTGTTGTCATTGTGTATACCTCACGTTTCTGTATATCAAATTTTTTCCCTTTGTGTGGGAAATTTCCTGCCATTACTTCTGTGAATATTTTAGTTATGTCATTTGCATTGACTCCTGCATCTTCACTGATGCCTATTAGCTTATGTTGTTTCTGTTGGCATCATGTTGAAGCTGCTGGATTGTCATTTCATGCTGCTTTTTGTTTTTATAAATTCTAACCTTTCGTGATCACTATCTGTGATCCTGTCTTCAGGGTCTGAAATTGTATCCTCATCTTCATTTAAACGGTTTTGTTAACTTTCAATGGAATTTTTTATTACTTGGATGACTCTTTGAATTTGTTGTATGGATTTTGCTTTTTGCATTGTTCCTTCAACGTTTTGATCAATTTCCCATGCTCCTGTATTTTTTAATCTATTTTTTCTCCAGCTATGATGAGCAACTTATTTACCAAGGTTGTTATTTTTGTGTTTAGATAAGACATTATTTCTAATTTTATTTTTTCTATAGCCTCATGGATTCTTTTTTCTTTACTTCATTTGCTCTCTTTTCAGAGATTCCCGGTGTGTGAGTTTTAAAGTCCTGTATTTCATTGTCACTTGTACTTGCCCTGATGGACTAGATGTTTGAGATAGCATTTTTCCTCTTCATTTTGTCATTTTCACATTTTGGGTAAATATTTGGTCTTTGAATCCCAACAATCTGAAGTATCGGTAGTGGTAATTTGAGGGTCCTACTGTGTGGTTGATGTTTGACCAGTTTCTGGGTATCACGGTGAAGAGGAGAGCCAGTCACCTGAATTCCTCCTACAGGGCCTGTTGGGTGAGTCCTATATTCTTTCTGGACTAACCAACCTAAAAGTGCAGATGTAGGTTAACTGTTAGTTTCTGCTGTTGCTATGTCTTCAGGTTGTTGCAGGTCACCAGCTCTCCTTGTCCATAGTGTTTGTGTCAGCTGAGGCCCTAATGTGTCAGCGGGGTCTCATGAGCTCTTTTAATTTTCTCTAAGATGGGGAGGCCTTAGTGGCACACTCCTCAACCTGTCTGATGTTCTCTGTGTGGAAGAGGGGATTACCCACTCTCTTGCCAGGTTCATCAAGGTCTTACCAATTGGAAGGAGTTTCACTTCTGCTCCTATTTACCCACGGCAGACCTGTGTTTTAGGGGCAAACTTACCACACTGACTAGAGCCTGCTGAGGTCTTCTGTTTGGGTGAGGGGTTCCCTAGGCTCCCATCCAGCCAGCACGGTAATTCACTGTAGTCCAAGTTCTAGAAGAAGGGGTTGAATCAAAAGACCAAATGAAGTACTAGCTAGGTCCAGGTCGTGGGTGGATTCCCCAAAGAAGAGCCCACCATGGCTGTCCTATGTGATCAGTCATGCCACTGGTGTCCCAGGTGTTCTGTGGAGGAGTGGGCCCAGTAGCAGCAGTCCCAAGCAAGACAGGAGTGTTGGGGTGTCCCTGGTCTTCCTTGGTGGCAGTATGAGGTGGATTGTTTTCCAGGGTGTCCCAGCTGTTCCCAATGAGGGGTTGGCCCAATGGTGGCAGTGCTAGGAGGCCCAGGACTGCCTGGGCACCCCAGGCAGGTGTTCTTGTAGAAGGGTGGGCCCAGCAGGGGCCTAGGTCAACCTGGGGCTTCCCAGTTGTTCCTAGCATCCCAGATGTCCCTTGGGGAATGTTGGGTGTTAAGCATGGTGCAGAAGCTGTGCTCCATGGTGGTGTGGTGTGGTTCTCTGTCTTTGTGCTTTTAAAAACTGAATTGCAAACTGGGAAGAATTAATTAATTAAATCTTCTACTTGATCTTTTTTAGTGTGTGTGTTTTTGAGACAAGGTCTTGCTGTGTAGTTCAGGCTGGTCTTGAGTTCATTTTGTAGCCCAGGTGGTCTGAAACTTGCACCAATCCATCTAATTCAGCCTCCTGAGTTCTGGGATTACAGGAGTGCACCACCACTGCAGCATTTTTTAAATCTTTCTTTTCATAGACAAAACCTATTGTTCCATTTCATTCCAACTAATATACTTTGTGTTTTTTTTAAATTAAATTAAAAATTTTTTTGGTACCAAGGATCAAACTCAAGACTTTGCATTTGCGAAGCAAGCACTTACACTGCTGAGCTAAACACCCGGCCCTCAACTAATACATTTTAATCAGTAGTTCCTCAAGTATCTTCTTATGTGCTTTCATCTCTGAGATACACTGTCTATCTGCATTATGCAGGTGAATGAGTGAAATACATTAAGTATCCAGTGGCCTGGATCACCTCAGTTTTAAAGTTTCTTCGAGAATGCTTTCAAACCCAGTAAGAATGACACACAACCTTTAAATTCTGGAGAACTATACTGTTATGTGAACAGGGAAGTAACAACGAAATTAACAGCTGTGTTGTAATCAAAGGAGTTTATTACTTTTTAAAAACATAGTCATGGAAATGAAAAATAAATATAAATTTTAGGATTCTCTCACAAAACATCTGCAAGTAACATTCAAATCTTTAAGTTTGAAATTCTGTAAATAATTTTCTTTGGACAGCATAGGTTGTTGTATTTGAGAAGGAAAGAAATGTATTTCATGAGGCAAAACACTAACTTTTTTCTTTTAATTCATACTGGGTATCAAACTCACGACCGCCTGCTTGCAAGGCAGGTTCTTATGCCGCTGAGCTAAATCCCCAGCCCCAAAACACTAATTTTTAATACTGAGGTAACATTGTTGTAAGTTGTCTAAAATTACTTAATTTCTGTCCTTTAAAACCTATATTATGTTCCTAAGGTTTGTGTAACTTCTGTCTTAAATAATCGGGCTCGCAATGGGGTACCTACTGCTAAGGTAACATGTAGGATAGGTTTCAAAATAAGCTTTCATACCAAGTGCTGCTGTTGGGGTCCAATTCCTTTATGAAACATGCCAATTAATATTGCTCTTAATACTCTCCTTCACCAAATCAAGAACCAAGAAATTTAGGTACTCAAAATAGGGATAGTGCACTGCTCTAAAAGAACTCCTCGGAAAGAAGAGGGAAACTCTTTGCAATATAAAACATCCCAAAAATCTTAGTGTCATTTTAAGCTTTGGTACCGTGTATAAATACAGAAGTTAAAACATTATCATATATTATTTGGAAGTATTAACTTGAGAAATGTGAAAATTAAGCTTTTAACTTTTGTTCTAGCTCTTCTCTCTATCCTTTTTTTAAGAGACTAGAAAAAGTTTAGAATAAATGAATAATATTCTAAACTCACCAAACTGAAATGTTGGAATAATGATTTGTAAGTTTGCAGCTTTTCTACCTGCTCCAGTGCCCTTAAAGACACAAACATAGTAGCCAAAGGCTTAAAACTACTCTGAAACTTTTGGGATGCCTTGTACTTTACTATCTGTAGTGATTATTGAACCATCATATTGGTTTGCATTATAGAAATATCTTCTGACATGTTTATTTAACAAAGGGAAATCATCAAAAAATTATCAGCACCACTTTTACCTCATAAGATTCTGTATGAACCCGATAAAAGTAGATAGCCAATAGCAGATGATTTTTCTTTATGACCACAGACATGGAATGGCATGAGGCTGCTAAGTAGTGCTTGTAAAGAACCTGAGTGGCAAGTGCTCTCTGGCTGAATTTTTGTGTAAAATTGCTGACATGACTGCCTAGGAACTCAGTGATACCACAGGAAGGAAGAACCTTCAATACTGATGACGTGGCAGTGTAGTCCTAAATGATTTCATAAGTGTGAATACTCCCATTTTGGGGCTGGGTGAATGGCTCAGTAATAGACATACTGCCTGAGACATGGATAGGAATGTGGATTTTTCTCTCAGCACCATGTAATACAAAAGGTTCCCCATTTTTTAACAGTAATACTATGCTAATCCTAAAAGTCTACACAGCTATATTGTGGCAGGGGACATGAAAACTAAACAGATACTATTTAAAAAATCTACCTTAAAAATTTATTAAAATTTTAAACTAGCTTAACTTTATACTCTTAATCTAAAAACCTTGCAGAGTTCACAGGCATTGGCCTGTGAAGTAAGCGAATGGTTGTGTCAGCCAGGAGCTTCTGCTTTGTGGTACTAGTAACTCTGCTCACATCAATGAAGAAAGGAAGTGTGTTGTTGCTTTCACAAGGTCTCTTCCCATGCAATACAACTATAACTGTCCAACAGTTTCTGAAATTCAAGGTCTTTCCTTTTGGCAAACATGTTCACTTTGGATTTTTTTTTTTTTCAAAGACAGGTGGTCCATCTTGTGTAAACGAGGGTCTACGATGTCATAGCCCTCATCTCTCTCTTTTAAGACAGGATGGCTTTAGACAGTTGAATTCCAGTGAAGCTGTCATCACTGGAAGCTTTTCTGATTTCACCTCTGTGCAAGCCTCCATCCTCACAGTATCTTGACATCGCCTAGGAAAGTTTATCAAAAGGAATACAGGTAAAAATTTTTAAAAGACAGAAACCTTAAAGAAAAGTAATCTAATCACAGAAGTTTAGTCATACAAACTTACTTTAGCTACTTCATGGTCACTGATGCTTTGGGTGTTTGAGACCTGCACTGCCAGGTTAAGAGGTTGCTACTTCCTGCCAATTCACTAACATTCTTTAATGATGATTCAATTACCAAGTAAGGGGAAGTTTGTTCAGTTACAGTCTTTACAAATGGAGTTTCCAAAGCCGACAAAATTTGGTGATACGATAAGCTACCAACAGCATTTTTTATCGTGTAACTATATTAAAAATGATAAGGCTACATATGTGCAAAAACAATCAGTAAATACTGAACCAGCTATTCCAATGCTATCTGACCATTATTAGTTTCCAAACTCTAAGGTATTTCCTTGGAAGGTGGTATGGATTTAATGTAGAGCAGGAGAATTCTGCAGCACCAACGCATGCTTCTTCAAATTCACATGAGTTGTAGGATCAAAATACATATTCCAAAATGGATAAGTCCTCAGTTTAAGAGGATAAGTCCTCTGTTCTGGGAGAACATTCCTGAGTCAGATTAATTTGTGAGTCCAACAAAATGAATCTTATAGTCAGTGGACACAAATATACAATGTAAAGCACTGAAAAGCAATCACCAGTGAAATAATCTTCATAATCTGCAAAAACCTGAAACCTAAATATTTGTAAGTTGGAGAGTTACTATGCCATGGACGCACTACAGAAAGTACCATTTGAATGTATGCATCCTTTTCAGGTAACAATTGTTTTGGTGGAGGATCACCAAAAGTCACAAACCATGTGCATTATTTTGCCTATGTAAGCTGCCATTTCCCTTTAAAACTCATGTACTTCCAATTTCCACATGCACAACACATATCTTACATATAGGGCTGTCATGTTAGCCAGTAAGAATCTGTCTACTGAATCCTTGGTCTTGAAGTAGGACAGCTGAATTGTGATATGAATTTTAAAATTGAGTAAAAAATAAGCACAAGTAATTAAGTGAACAGTATTTGTATACATGATAAAGAAAACAAGCCCAGGTAGTTAATCATGTGTGGCTATGGAGAAAGGTAGCGGTTCAAAAGGAAAACCATTTTGATCAGAATAATGCTGATTAAAATATTCTGAATTATGATCAATGAAAATAGAACTGCTTTTAAATAATAATGTGGATCTCTATCTGAACCATTAAGAACTAAAATATATGACACACACTAAAGGTTTAGTAAACTCTTGAAAGTGTTAATTTCAAAACTTGCCATTTTCCTTAACTACTTTATATGATATAGCCACAGATGCTGGCATTAGTGGCTCACAGAACATCCTACTTAGTGAAGGCACAGCCTTACTTCTAGTTTCTGTGCTCTTTCTTTGGTGAGAGGTGCAGGCACAAAATACATGTTGCTGTGATCTGCTAAAGAGCGAAGATCAAAGTAGTATTTGGCATAAATGCTGGCAGACACATTAACATTAAACTCAAGCAGACACAAGTAATGCCTTTCCAGTTGATTTCTGTGGAGGAAGAACACAGAAAAATGAACATCAGATAATTTTGATCAAGTAGAGTATCTTCGAAAACGTCATTTTGAGCTTCTAAGGACTGCTGTAAATTCTATTAAAAGTTTCTTTACTTTAAAGAAAAACAAAACAGTAAAAGGGTACAAGTAATACAGAATTTCAAAAAAATAAACAGTAAGAAATCACTAGTTAATAGATTACATAATGTCATATTAGAAATAGTTGTTCAACTTTCAAAATTAAAGCATACAAAGTGGACATTCAAACAGTGAGACTGCAAACAGTTGTGTTCAGTGATCCAACAAAAACTTTATTTTACAGTCCTAAACACACCTTCAGTTGTATCCTTTAGAGCACTTTCTATCTCTCACTTTTTTACAATTACAATTACACATTTTGGGTTTTATTACTCGTACAGTTCTTAATACTGACTGCTGTAAATTCTGAGATGTAGGGAGGCTACTTAACTGATAAGAAAAAATACTCATGTGCCAACAGGCTGTTTTGAATTGTTTCTGTATCCCAGCACTTTTGCATTTGGGTGGACAATAGTTATAGCCTATTCATTACTGCCTATTGCTGGCTCATGATTCTTTCTTCAACGTCCAGCAGTGCATCTGTGTGACTCATGCTTCACGCACATTCATCACTACATTGAGCAGAGAAAAAATAAATGTATGCTAATGTTAGCTCTCAAAGGCTTGCAGACATATTGAGGGGGAAGTAGAGGGGCACCAGGGAAAGATGCACCATTCTGCTCTCTGAGGGGCAAGCACTTCAAGCAAGCATTCATCCTAAATTTGCAAGGAAGGAAAAAAAAAAACTCCACTATATGAGAAAGGCAATCCTTTCCCCTGTCTCAGCATAAGAGACTGTGATGAAGGGCATATTATTAGTGGGTTTACAAATTGTGACCATGACAAGATACCCATTTTAAACTTTGGAAGATGGAAAGGTCAAACACAGGAGTCTTAAGTGGACTACATCCCTTGTAGGACAAGAACATTGTCAGAGCCCTCACACTCATGTTTCTGTGCTGGGGAAATCCAAATTGATCAGTATCTGCTGCCCCTCACCAGAAGAGAATGTACATGTGTGGGCATACACACACATGCACAAACACATGCACATGTATGCACACGTGTGAGTTCAGTGCAGTGGAAAGAGAAATGACTGGGTACAGCCCTGTGCTATGTGACTAGGGAGCTGCCTTTGCACCTTCTATACACATAAAATCAGAGCCCATCAGACTGATTTCTACACACATACAACACTCCTAATGAGGGGTAGGCAGGCACAGGAGTCTGGAATAAATTCTGTTGTAAAGACCAGCTAAAGCAAAGGTACAACTTGTGACTCAGACTAAACCTATAGCCCCAGGGATATAACAGTGATCAAGCATTTATTTCAAAAGTCAGACATGGTCGCCCTTAAAGAAGGGAATGGCGCTGAAAGCTGTTAAAAAGCCATGAAGATAAACACAGTAATATGTTATATTGCTGGTAAGGTTATAAAATACTTGTCTGCAACCTCCAGAAAAAAATTACAGCTTATGAATCATACCATTACAATAACAATCCATTAAAACAAATTAATGATGGAAAACATGAATTTCTATACTGTAGATTGACAGGGTATCATAGTTTTAAGCTCATTTTTATTTTCTATAAAATGTAATATTTAAAATATTTCTTAAAATGCATGCCTTAAGGGACCAAGTGAGCTGGAACATGGATAGAAAAGTCACGAAAACCTTGTAAACTCACATGTCTTGGAGTGCAAGGTTCTTGAGGATCTGGCAGAAGTATATGTTCCACACAGCCTTATCATGCCAAACCTTGAAGGCAAGAACAATGGCTCCCAAGACAATCCTTTTCCAGTTGGTAGGACAGAGGTCAATCTTAGCATATGACATCAACCTTTCTAAGTAAACCTGCAAAGAGTAGAGCACCGCTTTTTCATTTTAGCTCTGTTTAAGTGCTTTGCTAAGAACTGTTGTACATGATGTTTATTCTGTGATGAGAAAGGGAAGTGCGACTGAGAGATTGTGCTCAGCTAAAGCAAGATGTGAGGTCACAACTGTAAATCAGACATGCCTGCTGCCCATGTAATTTTCCTACACAGTTTTGGTGAGTGGAATGCCTGGACATTGCAACAGAAGTCATCCAGCTGGTAGTATTGCTATCACCTCCACATTCGTGAAGGGCGCAGGTGTAAGTTTGTTCAGTAAATACCAAGTGCCACCAACATGTAATATAACATACAGGTGGTAGATATAAAATGGTTTTAGACATGTTATAGTCAGCTGTGATACCTAACTCAAAGTGAGCACATTTCATCTTTTCATAGTATTAAGCCTTTTGTGGCAATAACTGTGGAGAAAAGCACCTTCCCATGGCTGGTGAGCAGAACAGCATGAGAGGTGCAAGATTTACAGCTATGAAGTTTTTCTGAAACGCAGTACCTTTATAATGAAACCACAAGTAAAACAAGATGGTCCTTCTTAGAGCCCTTTTTCATATTCCCACTATTCATGAATATCGATTTTCTTTCCTACATAATTAGCTACTTATTCAATGCTTTGGCTTTATGATGAGAAGAACAGCTGCCAGCCTGTAACCCTGGGACCCCTAAAGTTCCAGGCAGTTCATGACATGACCTCAGGCACTGTTTACATATATCAAATATCTGTTCTACAAAGAACTAGGTGAGCAAATTGCCGAGTAATGATGACAGAGGAAGCTGTATGCTGTTAATTAAATCTGATCAATACAAAAGTTTCCTGATGCTCAAGTCTCCTAGATAGAAAGCTTAAGATTTGCACATGTACCTATTCACATCCTTGTATACTTGAAATCATTTCTAGGGTATTACACTAAAAAAATTCAAGGTAAATTCCAAGTAAAGGTAGATACACTATACATTTAAGCATTAAGGACAAGGGAAAACAAGGCCATAAAATTTCCCCAAATGGTGAAATTTTAGAAGCAGAGCTCATGGACTGGATATGCTATTTTAACTCTTTCTATCGCAACTATAAAGAAAAAGGCTCACTTTTAAGAGCATAGTTACAATCTGTAAGCTGTCAGGCTCGCAGTCCATATTAGGCAATATTCTTAAACCTTGACTGTATTCATTCTCCAATACCTGCTCCCTTAGCTATTCTAACTATGTTACTGTGTTCCAGGATGCAAATCTTCTGTATATAAGTGATGTGAGATAATGAAACAATGCTGGTCATCTTTTCCATGGCTTTGTTTTGGGTTAGTATTCATTTGTACCACTTGCCTGTTATGTGAGTGGACCACTGTTCTTTACTTTCAAACAAGGCAAACTCTTCCATCAGTATTGGTGCCCCACCCCACTTCTGCTGGACACTGATTATCTCTTTCTGAAGACTTTTTACGTCAAATGTCACTCCCCCAGGTGGTTTACATTGCTCTCATCTCCCTTGCTGAAACTCCAGTACTGCTACCTTTGACCTGGATCACTGTATTATGCCTATGCATATCCCTCATTTCCCCTTCTTTGTTTAACCATTTTTCCTGTATCACTGCACTCTTCTGGAACAGTCTTGCCAATCCGATTGTGGGATGCAAACTTACACACCAGTTATGCATCCTAACACTCCACTCTCCAACCCTTCCTAATATGTAAGCAGCACTGCTCCTTGCCTAGTACTATGAACAAAATTTATAGTGTGACATATTCCACACCAATCTATGCATACTTTCTATTATCTCTACTTCCATTGGTAACATGAAAGCTTTCTGTCCTGAGCTTCCATTTGTCTTTGGTCATCTGCATCACCATGTTGCTTCCTAACCCTTGTCCTCTGCCTCTAATCCAAACCCCACCTGCAGTTTATGTTCCCCAAGACAGTCTGGAAAGCCCTGACATGTAAGGAACAATTCACTGGTAGATCAATATCTACCAAATGTTACCAATCAACCTCCCATGCTTTGCAAATGATGTGTGACCCTGAGAGAGTGATCCTTACCCACAGCATGCTAGTCACCCTGTTCTTGCTTGAGCACATGAAACATGTTCCTGAACTGGGGGCCTACATCTTACCCTCTTGAATGTAATGCATGAGCACCTTGCCTTCCCTGCTCCAGTCAGGTTGTACTTCAAGTGTCACTACTCTGAAACAAGATCTTCCTGGTCACTCTGCCTGAAACTGAAAGCTCTGAAATCACTCTTCAACCTCCTACAATGCTCTGTCTTCTTGACATTTACTGCAATGTGAGATATTCATATACATGAAAAATATCCCATGACTTTTTCACTAGATCATGAGCTCACAAACAGCAAGAATTTTGCTCTATCTCTTTGTTCTTCCCCCGCATAAATATCAGTGAGTATCAGTGAGTGTCAGTGCAACTTCTTGACCTCATTCATCACTCTGACCACATCATCTCTCGCCTTCATTTCTCTTTTCTCCTTTCTCCCATTGCTCTGCCTACTTCTTTTGAAACTTTGCCTTTAACTGCTAAGGACTCCTGCCCACTTTTCAATGAATTCATTCTGTATATTTGAGCAGCCACCGTTCTTTACTTCTTAGTCACATTTCTGTGCCTGTACCCCTACATCCAAAGTATATGAAGATATGCCACAGTTATTTCAAGGAGCATCAAGCTTACCTTGTTTACATGGACACTTCCACCTCCAACCCAGCTCTGCTTGCTGTGCTATCTATCTCTACAAATGGAAATGTCCCTGATGGGTTTCTGTTTCAACAGAGGGCATGACTAAATGCCATCAGCGCAGCTGCTGTCTTAAGTGTTTTTTGTCTTCAGGCCATGTATATGACTTTCCACTATGCATTTGGTGGGGGAAGGACTGGAACAATCTCAAACATTTCACCAGTATTGTAGATGACAAATTCCACCTTCCAACTTCTGTGTGGATAACACAAATATGAGGGCACTTCTACAGTGTATCATGATAACAATGCTTTTTAAAGAACTACTGGTACTGTCATCCTGGGCAACTTCATGAATAGACAGAAGCTATCAAAAGGGATGGGTTGATACCCATACCCCAAAGACTAGAGAACTGAAGGCAGTGAATTGCCTGAAACACAGCCTGGGTCCTGTTTTGATCAGCCTAAAACCAGTGTCTGTGTCTCCTATGGTCCTGTTAATGCTCTCCTTCCCACCCCGTAGCATGTGCAAGTGTTCACAGTGTCAGCTCTGTGTATACTGATGTGTGTGGGGAAAACTCTTCAGCTTCCTTTAATTGCATTTGTTTTGTGATGAGAAAATTAAAGACACCATTTTAAATGATAATGCCTAGGGAACCCAAATACATTTACTTTCTTTTGATAGGCTTTTTTATGGTTTGTGTCTAGATGTCTACCCAAAGCCATGTGCACTCAGAGGACCTATTTAGAGAAGGGTGAATCTAGATTATGCAATGCTGGGATTAAGGGTGTGTGATTGCTGGGTCAGATTATTGGTTGGATTGACACTGCCCTAATTCCAGTAGACTGCATAAAATGTAAGGAACAGAAAGAAGCTTGTCTCTCCCTGTTTCTCTTATTACTTTTGCTTTCTTCCACTGATATGGGCTATTGCTCTTATGCTATGTTCCACTGAACTTTGGAGCCAGTACATTATGGACTAAATCACTACAAATTGTGAGCTAAATGAACTTTTCTCCTTTTTACAATGGGTGCCCTTTATTTTGTCTCAGCAATGAAAGAAATGTATCAAAGGCTGGTCTTAGTAAAGTTCTCATGATAATTTAAGGAATCTAACTTGAAAAAAGTGACCTTTTATGTGTACAAAACCATTCTATGCATGTTTGATAAAGAAGACACATCTTACCAAAGTCATTATTGCGCATTCAGTTGGTATGCATAGGGCATTAAAAATAATAGCAACAAATCTGTATATACATTCATGTTCAGGATCATGCTGAAAGTAGTCCTCTGGAAGCGTCTCTTCCTGAAAGGAGAAATGATGCAATGCAAGTATGATCTGAAGAAAGCTTTAAATATTCTTAAGACAGCAACCTTCACCTTATGTTCACATGTTCCTGAAAATAATTTTCACTGGGTTGTATGTCATTTCATCTTCTACTAGAGACACTGGGATCTTTGACTTTGCCCAGTGATGCTTTGGTCAGTGAGGATCACATATTCAACAGCAGCCCCATAATGACCACATGGTGCACCAGAGTCATCTTTGTTGTGTAAGCACACTCTGAGGTTTGCACAAGATTGGAATCACTTATCAATACATCTCTCAAAATGTACTCCATTAGTAAGAAGAAGAGAAGTGTGCAAGGTCAGAAAAATCACTATTTCTTTCTACTGTGATTAACAGCATTCTCAGATTGATTTATAGCCTTAAAGTCTTCTAAATTGTATGTTGTATTTCTTTGTACATGGCCTGAAGTCTAAAATATATAATTATTGTCCTGCAGCCACAACCTCTTCTGGAAGTCAGCAGCCAGATGACGGTTGAGCAGTGCAAAGTGATAATATGCCTGAGGAACTGACTTTTAATTTTACATCATTCAAACCTAACTCTTTCTTCAGAGATATCACCTATGCAGTAATGTGTATATCAGATTCTATTGGAAAATATTATTATTATTTTATTAAAAGAGGAAACAAAACAAAACAAATCAAAGCAGTAAAGGGTAAAAATAATACATAATATCTGGACAGATATATGCAGTAAGAAATCATTGATTAATAGATTACATATTTTCATCTTAGAAACAGTTGTGCAAGTTACAAAATTAAAGCATACAAAGTGGAAATTCATACAGTGAGATTGCAGACAGTTCTCTTCAATGGTCCAACAAAAACTCAGTAATGAGTTTTTCTATCCTACACACTTAAATATATATGCAGGTATATCCTTTAGATCACTTTCTTTTCCTCTCTTTTTTACAATAACAATTACACTTTTTGAGTTTTATTAGTCCCACAGACCTTACAACTATTGTTTGAAGCGATAAAAAAGAACAAATGTGACAAAACAAAACAGAGTTAGTTAGAACAGAAGGATGGACTTAGTACATGATGCAAAAACAGAATACCAGGTGATCAACAATGGTTACCATTATGCCTCTTGGTATCTTATAAAGAGTTGTGTATATCATCAGGTACAATAAAATTGAGCAAAACAGTACAGAACAAGACCAGTAAAACCTACATTGGAGACCTTACAGGACTTCAAAAGTAGATAATAGTGAAAGCATAATGGCCATCATAGTAAATCTTATTGTCTTCAAAGTGGTTGCCTATGCCCTCAAACTTGATAGTATCAAACAAAACAGAATAGAGTGAAATAAATCAGACCAGGATGGGAGAGCAACACAGGTGCTCAAGAGAGGTTAATAGGAAAAATAACTGTTACTATATCCCACTATTTTTTAAATTTAGTTTTAACTAACTCTTTCCTCAGAGATATCACCTATTCATTAATGTGTATATCAGATTTTACTGAAAACTGCTTTTGAAAATGTACATTTTCTGATGTTGGAGTAGTACATTTATTCACTTTAGTTCAGTAATAGAGGAGCTTTAAGCCACTTTTGCCCATATCATAACCCTAAAGAACAGTTCTTTTCATAGAACATGTCATACAACATGATGTTGGAAAGCACATGATTTAAATTCAAATAGAAGTGTGTGATTTATTTCTGCACTTAATATCAAAAGAAAAAGCATCAAAGATACGGTTAGGTAAAAAATGATCTTGTAAAACTGACACTTACTGTGAGAGGATGCAGTCTCTCATCAAAAATATCCAGGGATGTATTTGCATCTCTGCAAAGAAAAGTTCATCTAAGTCATTTATATCTTAGTTAAGTACCTGGTAAGGGTAGGGGACTATGGAGAAAGAGGCCTAACCTTCAACATATCAAGCAGTTTTAGAAATTCTTCTCCTTGATTTTGACCTTAAGACATCTCTTTGTTTAGTGCATCAAGTACTGTGAAGACTTTTCTAAGATAAGCAGGCTAAGTTGCCTATAAGTAATGACACTTCCTTACAGGCAATGCTAGTAAAGCAGCAGTGCTGGGTATTCAAACCTAGAAGTGTAGTAAATGTGAATGAGATTTAGATCTCCAAAGTTTTCTTTTCTTCAGTCCTCTATATTTTCATCATGCATTTGTGTTTCTGTTGTGTCAAAAAATGTAGCAGCTTTTGTATAGGAGACCAGTATTTTCATTGAAGTATTATACTGTGTTCCTATAAAGCAATGGTTTGCTGTGGTCTCTGGACCTCTGGAGAACCCTCAGTATCATTTTCAGGAGGCTCAAGCGCTCAAACTTCTCTTACAATCATGAAGAATTTACTTATTTTTTGACTGTTGGTCACTTGTTATGCTCATATAAAGGCAAAATCAAAACTTGCAATTTCTTAATGTGAACCATTCCTGTGGCACCAAGTTACATCAGAGGTCATTGTATTTTTCACTGTCACTTGCAGTTTTGTTTAAAAACCTTTTATAATTGCCTATGATGAAACAGCAAAGAATAATGTTGGTAAATCTTGGATCAGCTTTTTGGTATTATGAATAAATGAAAAGTTCACATAAAGCAGTTCTGCATACTGAAGTATGTTCTCAGAACTTCACTTAGGATTTAGTTGTGAGTTTAACAGTCTTTTTATCATAGAACTCTACTTTTACATGAAACTAGATATATCAATAGAGAACATAGTGGGCCTCGAGGAAAGTGAAGAAATAGTTGTTGCCAATGTCAAATTCAAGCAGTGAATCTAAAACGTTGAGATTTATGCAAGATGTATACCTTGAAATCTGCCTATGACAGACTCTCAGTATCTGGAAGACTTTTTGCTAAGACTGGTGATGATAATAACGAAAGTGTTCTGGATGTTGTAAAAAAAATCTGAACTGGTAATTTCAAAGCTCACTGATGTATATTATGAATCATGTACTCATAAAAGAATTGCTCACTGTGAAAGACACACCAATAAGTGTTATTTTGTAGCAGTTTCAGAGACACAATGTAAAATTCCATTATACCTAACTTAAGAAACTAATCTTTGCAGTGTGTGATGTAAAGTAAAAGATTATCCATATGATCTGTATTTTAAAAACACATTTATATCAAAATATATACAATTATGTGATTGGTTATTTTTCTTATTGTTTCTTCCAAAGGAACTGCCGATGAATCAAGAAAAAGGTGAATTTAATTGTGTTCTATTCAGTCAAATGAGGACTTGTACATCAGTGTAAATAGAGATACATTTTTCAACCAATGTAGAAAGGGAACAGAAATGTAAGAGTTATAAAAGATAGTCATTTTTGTTATGTGTGTTAACAATGTGGTTTTTAATGGGAGTGATCTTGTCCAACAGTAGACATTGTTTGTTATCACAAGATGAGGGAGAAAGCGACTGGCATCTACTAGGCAGAGGACAGCAGTCCTGTAATACATCCTACACTGAGTAGGACAGCCCCCACAACAAACAGTACCTGGCTTAAAATGTCAGTAGATCCACGATCAAGAAATGCTGTTAACACCTCCCACCTGCACACACACAGGCACACACAAACACATATGCATTTAACTCTGTTTTAATTTCTAAACAGAACACATCAATATAATCTATGGAAGCAAATATCCTTTGTGATCTTTAAGAGAATATTTTTCAACAGACCTAATTACAATAACAAGAAACCTGAAATGACTTGCTTCCATCTATTACTAAAAGCACAGCACAACCTCTGATGTTTGCAGCCAGGGCCTGATAATATATAGGTATTCTGTAAATTAAGTTGAAGTATAAGGCAAGTTTTTAAGAGCTCACCTGTATTTTATGTGGTAATATACTGCCAACGTCATACTGTGGGAAGGAAAAAAAATATATGTTATAACCAAGATTATTGGTGAAATTGAAGACATGTTTTCAAGGAGAAACTTCCCATAGACTTGTCTTGCAGTTTCAGAACAGTATCATATGGGCACTTGCCCCTGTTTAATTTAACTTGCTTATAGTAGACAGATGCCAAATGTTATGCAATGTGACATCAGGACATCTTCTTTTAACTATACATTATTACGTTTTTCTCTGTCATTTGTGTTTCTACCCGTATAACCTCTTTCCCTGGACAAATTCTATAAATCTTCCCAAATACTTAAAACTAAACCACATAATATTTTTTTAAAAAACTTTGAAGCTCGTGCATTTATTTCAGTTGACTTATTCATTATTCACCTGCCCATAATTTTCATTATTTCTCTGAAAGTTAATTAAAAAAATGCTGTAGAACAAAATGAAAATCATTCCTCCAGTACAAGAAAAAATTTTGTAGTAAATGCAAGTGGCCTCCAAACTGATAATAGTTCTTTTATGCTGAAAAGTCAGTGATAGTAATGCAGCCTACATCTGTACAGTACAATATTCATGGGAAATATTTCCAAATTAGTTTAAATAAAGAATAAATAGGCAGACACAACCCTTCATATCATACATTGCTGTATCTCTAAATTATGCATAGGTGCTGTTTACTAGGGTACAAAGGGATTCCCTTGAGTGAGTTATATGCTTTGATTTGCTCTCATTGTTTAAAAGGAAGCTTAACATCATCAAGGGAAGACAAAGCTGAATTTTAAAATAAGTCCAGAATGTGTTTAAAATTTAAAGTCTGACATCATATGCATCAGGGATGCACATTTTATAGTATTTCAAACAGTTTATCTCCAAACTGCGTTTAATCACAGACTGACCATCATACATTGAAAAGGTTCACCAAAACTTATTAGAAATTTCATCTAACAACCAACCATTACAGATAAGGGAACCAAAGCTTGCCCAAAATCCAAAAACCAAATAGTCAGAAGCAATTCTTTTCCTATATGGTATTCTCTGAATCAGTAGTTCCCAAACTTTCGTGCACACTGGAATCACCCAAGGAGCTTTACAGTGATCCTTAATTCCAACTTGGGACATTATGATTAAGTGGCACAGGGAACAATTCGGTACAAAGAGTGTTTGAGAAGTTCCCCCAGGTGATTCCACTATGCAACAATGTTTGTGAATGACTTAAAAGTTAAATGTCACAATCGTTGGGCATGCATTATGTACACTACTACATGTAAACTTCATCCTTCACCCCATAGGTATGGGAAAGGGTACTATAGGCAGGGAAAGAATAAAATAGGAAACTCCTTACGTTTTCTGGCTAATCCTAAATAGAAGGAGTTAAAACACTCCTGGAAAAATTTCCCTTGGCAATAATGTGAAGGAAAAGGGTAGTGAAAAACAAAACAAAACAACAAAACAAAAAGGCACCAAATGGCTTAGGGGCTTGTACCCAAAACCAGAGAAAGAGCCGACAAGCAGAGTACAAAGAAAGTCTTGTGCACAAAACCGAGGTAACCTTCCTTTTGTACTTCCTATAGAATTCAGGGAAGCAGACTGGAAAGGAGGAGTGACTAACTCTGGGGGAAAACTTGTGTGTGTTCACACCTATGCACTAGCACACACACATACACATATGTGTTCACTCTAGGGTTAGCATATTATCCACTCTAGGAGCAGTGTATCACTACAATACACACACACACACACATCTTGTTACTAACTCAAATGTAATGATGAATAAGGCACCTCTTATTCAACCAGCTGTCCACCTTGGAGAAAAGGCCCTCTCAAGGACAAATAGAAGTTACACAAAGCCCTTGAAAGCAATGACATAGGCAAGTGGACCTGGTCCAATACAAATAAATCCCTGGGAACCAAGAGGGCTATGGTAAGTTCTAGGCAGGGCAAAGTGTCCTTGGTACACAATAAAGGTATCCAGGAACAAAGGCCTATGGATCTTCCATGTTTCTCTTGTCAGGGTGGCTATTTTCTCCCTTTCTATTGAAACATGCTTTCAAAACGTTGTATCTTTAACGTGTTATTGTATTAGAGTTTATAATCCAGGTGAGCCACTGACCCCAGTGCAGTGGTGCTCACAGAGCACATGAGGTGACACTGCACATGTATTATGGCAAACATTCAAATGCTGGTAACTGGGGTGTCAACAGAGGAAACAGCGATTGTTTTTTCCAAGAGTCATTTCTAAATTGTTAAACTGTAACTAATAGAGAACTATCTTTTCTAGAAATATCTAAATATAAAGCACCTGTTCTTTTTACATTTAACAGTGTCTTGCATCATACATGTTTAGTATAAAGAGGCACACTTTTCATGGGATTCTTTAGTTGCTAGCACGTGTTCCCTTCTACCACGAGTAGATTAAAATAAAAATGGGAAATTCACAGTTAGGCCTTTACAATCAATATAGATGTTTAGCTCCAATATTTGAAAGCGGGCAAGGAAGAGAATAATCATATGGCTGAATTTACCCAACATGGCTGGAATGTTTTAGCAGTAGGGGACCTGTCACTGAGGCCTCTGCAGCATCCCTGTACTCACCATTGTACTGTGTTTCTATGATTAGGCTTGCTGAGTGTACTCTCATCCATCCATATTGAGGAGCAGGAGCTGTAGTTCCTCGTCAGCTGACAGTAGAAGAAAATGTCACAGTAAGTTAGACTCACAAATGTTGGGGCTGTTTCCTTGGTTAAAATGTCAAGTGAAAAACCATGAATGTATTTCTTACACTGCATGAAAGGTGTGAGAGCAGTGTCCTGCATATGGGTCTGCAAAATGTTACTGGGGGAGGCTGTTTCTTTTCAGGGGTGTTGGAGGAGTAGGTTGTAAAATATAGCCCTTATTATGCTACCTGTTTTCAAATCTGACAAGCATTTAGTATACATCATTTTATAAATAGTATAAAAAGATTAAAATAAGATTTTGGACTTTTAGCAAGAAAAACAGCTAAGATTTTCTATTTCTACTGTTAGTAACTAGAATAAAATGTAATGCCTTGCATAATATTGGCACAGTATTAACAGTATAGTACAACAAACAAAAGCTTAACACTTAATTGATTAACTGACACTAAGTGTGTTAATGTGATGAGACAAATATTTCACAGTCAAAGGACTGTGCCAGGGATGCTCAGTCACTAAGAAGCCAGGGCGATAGGTCACCTGGACCTGTACCCTTAGCAAGAATACACAAGTACTATTTGAAGATTCCCTCACATCTAAATTGAGAACAAGAACAACTTTGAGAACTGAACATTCGGTTATTTTCTGGGTGGATTTCCATTCCATCACTTTGTGGAAAGCCTCAGGCACTCAAGATTACATTTAATTCTCTGAAGCTATCTGACACTTATGAGGTCACATTTCTGCCTCATTCATGCTATTCGCTGCCTGAGAAGCATTTTTTGGAGTTTATGTCCTTCAGATTTGATCCCATCTACATTCTGGAATTCATCTGCTAACAGCTGCATCATAAAACATTTCTCTGAAAGTGTTTCAGTGACAGTGTAAGAGATTGAGCATATTTAATTTTTTCCTCAGCATGGGAAAGACCTTAAAGGCATGACCCATTTTGTATAACTATATGAACATTCTGAGATGGTTAGACAACCTGTCTGGTGATATCAACAACACACAGCACAGGAGGTGAGTACAATTGGTCCACAGGTGGATTCAGATCAAGAATTTAAGAATGAAACTGTCCATGCCCCATTTTCCCATTTGTAAAGATAACTAGAATAGCAAAAAAATTCATAAACATTTCTAAGTGATGCTTGAGCATAAATTTAAAAGAAAAAAATTTTAAAACACTAAATGTCTATCATTCTGACTTATGTATACCCCCTAGTACACACTATATATCCTATAACAGACATTAGTTTTTGACATACACTTATCTAATATGCAGTAATGTCAATCACTTAACCTTGAAAACAACTTCACTTATGAAATGGAAAACAATTATTCTTTGCTGTGAGTGAGTAGGAGTAGTCCACTACCATAAAGATTCAAACAGATTCATGCATTCACACTTAACAACAATGTTAGGAAAACAAAAATAATTACACTACCAAATCTGATCTTTTTGGCAAATATACAGCCTACTGAACATCTGTGAAAGAGGACCAAAGTGATACCTCTTTTTTCAAAAAATAAAAATGCAGATGTCTGGAAACAATGAGATATTCTCATTTAAGAACTGCAATAATAAAAATTAATCGTATTTTAAAAATTAATGTGACATTTACAAAGTATATTCATGCATCATTTTTCTTCTTCTTTAGTTCACTTTGTACAGCTCAGATTGTCCCAATTTTCTTCCTGTGGTGCCACACTAAAATATATTAATATGTTGAATTATTTAGGTTTCCCCTGACAAATCTCAAGCATTAGAGCTACATGGAGATGCTCCTCCAACCGTCCTCGTAAGTATTTCAAGAACTTTCATCTATTTTTAGTTTTAAAAAGCCTATCCAGATGAGATGTCATGGCACATGTTTGTGTCTGTGTGTATTTTGTGTGCAAAAGTCAGCCAGAACCACGTAACAGTGTGCAACCAGAGAGACAGAAGACATGCAAACAAACTTACACAGTGGTCCAAGTAACCCTAAAAGTCTTAGATATCCAGACACTGAATTATCCTCTCAAAATAGTCTCTTTCTGGACAAACTCAAAACATTTTAAATATTCTTTTGGGCCATTTGCTCTCAACATAGATCTGGATGAAAACCATCAACAGTAACCATGCCAGTACCTTAACATTGAACTGCCTTGAAATTTCTTCAACCAGATTAATTTAATTTCAGCCTTTGACAAAGCCTTTGGATATGAGCAAAATGCAAACTGATTTTCTGCAAATGTAACACACACACACACACACACACACACACACACACACACTTTACATTTCCTATTACTCTCCCACTAGCCAGTTTAAAACTGTTTTTTCTTTTCACTTTTTTCAGTTGTAATAAAAAATACACAGCTGGTATGTCTAGACCTTTCAAAATGATCTTACATGCCACTTATAAAGGCTTCTGAACCATATGGTCAGGTAGCAGCAGCACAGCAATAACCCCACCACCAACACCAAACTCTGTGTTAGTTACTTTCTCTTCACTGGGAGAAATCATCTGACATCTACAAGTTAAAGGAATCCTTAATATATTGGAGATACATACTTTTAAGGGTCCAAGTTAATACCATTATATGTATTTAATTTAAGGGTCCAAGTTAATACCATTATATGTATTTAATTTAAATACATTTGGCTATTGCTTATACTAGACATTTCTTTTTTTTTTTCACATCTTGGATTTTATTACTCCTTAGTGCTTATTACTTTCTTTGGGGGGGAAGAATACAGTCAAATATGGCAAAACAAAGCTGTCAGTCAATACCAAGGATAGACATAGCACATGGTGTTGAACAGAGTACAAGTTTATCAACAATGGTTATCAAAGTTGTCCCTTGTTTCCTTAAAAAGAATTGTCTATCTTATTAGATATTATAAAGTTGGACAAAACAGTAGAGAACAAGACCAATAAAACTTAGGCATTGTAAACATTACAGGACTTCCAAAGAAGACAATAGTCAAACCAGAATGGGTATCTTAGTGAATCTTATTGTCTTCGAAGTAGTTGCCTATGTCTTCAAACTTGATACTATCATATAGAATGGAACAGAGTCTAATCAGTCAAAACAAGATTGTGGGAGTACTACAGGACTTCAAAACAAGTTAATAGGAAATCGAAAAGAGTTACTATTTATATATCCTAATTTTTTTGAATTTTTTCTTTAATTAAGACAAACATAAGAAATGACTAAATAATTTTTTTGAAACAATAAGGGGGAGATTGAGATAAAACAGGACATAACAATATAACAATAGAGGTCACAGCATGACTGTTTCAACAACCTAGTACTTCACCACCTTATAACCTGACTTAATAGTAGTTACCATAGTGTCTTTTTCCTTGAAATATTTGGGTAAAACTTCATATACTCTAGCTTCAAATATTTTCATATCAAGAAGCCCAGAATAAAGCCTTTCTAATTAATGAGTGAAAACTTTATAAGGCTTCAAGGCCACCTAATGGGGAATCATGATTACCACATATTTTTATATATTTGAATCATTATTTACATTAGGGAAACTATTCGGTATTCACACATGCGAGATTGATTTATTTCACTAATGAGTATGGTCTCAAGCTGCGCCCATTTATTGATAAATATCTCAATGTGATCCTTCTTTATAGCTGAATAATACTCCATTGTATAGAAATACCACAACTTTTTTATCCATTCCTCAGTTGATGGGCACTTGGGTTGTTTCCAAGATCTGGCGATTACAAATTGTGCTGCTATAAACATAGGTGCACATATATCACTGTGGTATGATGCTTTCAGTTCTTCTGGGAATATGCCTAGAAGTGGAATAGCTGGAATAAATGGGTTTTCCAGTCCCAACTTTTTGAGAAATCTCCAGACAGATCTCCACAAAGGCTGTACCAGTCTACACTTCCACCAGCAGTGCAGGAGAGTTCCTTTTTCCCCACAGCCTCTCCAGCATTTGTTGTCGGTTTTCTTGATCCTGGCCATTCTTTCAGGAGTGAGATGGTATCTCAGTGTGGTTTTAATTTGCATTTCTCTAATGACCAATGATGATGAGCATTTTTTCATGTATTTATTTGCCATTTGCATTTCTTCATCTGAGAATTGCATATTCATCTCAGATGCCCATTTTTGGATTGGATCTTTGAATTTCGGAGGTCTGAGTTTCTTTAATTCTTTATATGTTTTAGACAAGAGGCCCTTGTCTGAGAGAGAGTTCACTAAAATCTTTTCCCAGTTTGTGGGTTTTCTTTTCACTATGCTGGAGATTTCTTTTGACATGCAGAAACTTTTTAATAAGAAGTGGTCCCAGTTATTGATTCTGGGAAGCATTTCCCGTGCGGTTTGAGTCCTGTTCATGAATTCTTTACCTACTCCTATGTCTCCAAGGTTTCTACCTATTTTGTCTTCCAATAGATTTAGTGTTTCTGTTTTAATATTCAGATCTTTGACCCATTTAGATTTTAATTTAGTACATGGTGATAGACATGGGTCTAGCTTTAGTTTTCGGCAAATGGAGAGCCAGTTTTTCCAGCACCATTTATTAAAGAGACTGTCGTTCTTCCAGTGAACCTGCTTGGCTCCTTTATCAAAAATAAGGTGGTTGAGTGTGTTCGTAGTTGTGGTTGTATCTTCTAATCTATTCCACTGATCTTCAGCTCTGTTTTGATTCCAATACCATGTTGATTTTACTACTGTTGCTTTGTAGTATAACTTCAAGTCAGGGATTGTGATGCCTCCTGCTTTGTCTTTGCTGCTTAGAATTGCCTTTGCGATTCTAGGTCTCTTCTGGTTCCAGATGAAATTTAGGAGTGATTTCTCTAGATCTATAAGGTATGTTGATGGTATTTCTATTGGGATTGCATTGAATCTGTATAACAGTTTTGGGAGAATGGCCATTTTCACAATGTTTGTTCTTCCTATCCATGAGCAAGGGATGTCTTTCCATTTTCTGAGATCATCTTCAATTTCCTTTTTCAGTGTATTATAATTTTCACTGTATAAGTCTTTCACTTCTTTCGTAAGAGTAATTCCTAAATATTTCATTTTTTTGCTTGCTAATGTG